CATTCTCTGAAACTCAAGTATCTCCTACAGGTAATTTGTACCTTTGTTGATCTACAAGTATGAAATTGCATGTTCACAAAGTGAACATGCAATTTCATACAATTGTAATTGGAACCGCGAAATCCTTAAATACCCGACAACGTGGAGGAAACTCAATTTCTTGCTTTCTGACTCCAAAAAGAAGCCTGGAATGAGTATTCGGCTTCATATTTTACAATTTAAACGCACCAATTTCAATTTCTGGCCTCAAGATCCCGGCCATCTTATCGATTTCATTCCTAGTTCATTCTCCGCAGTTGACCTGTCTCCAAGCAAACCGCCAGAAATTATGAACCGCCATGAACAGTTGCTACGTGACACTTACAAAAATACAAGCTCTAAGGGCGCTGCTCGATAAAAGAAAATGTATGGAGCTATTTTTTGTTTGTCATTTCTGTGACAAGACATTCAAATCATCGTGCTGAGGGGAATCTACTTTTGATTGCATACGCACGAACTTTGTTTCTAAGCCTTTATTCTTTTTAGAACCTAAACTTCGATTGGGTTCGCTTTTCGACATTGTAAGAGCGTATGCTGTGTGACTTTACTTTAAGGGTCAAAGCGCCGGAATGCGGCGAGAAGGCGATAAATTTCTCCTTATTATGCTACAACCTGAAATCTACTCACCAATTGAGGGGTATCGGAACAGATAACCACAACATTCAGCTGTTTCTTTCCAAAATTTATCGAACAGGGAACAAAATCCTCGTTCGGCATTCAAAATTCGTTTAGCCCGATTTTTAAGCTCTTCTCTGACACGAAAGGTTGCAGCAATGTGAGGATATAGTTTCGGAAAAAGCCAAACGTTTCCGAGGCTCGATCATCGACGGTCGCTATTTATACTTACATCAAAGTGGCTCAATAGGGTCTTTTGGCCGCGCGAAGAATGGGTACGAAACCGGCGGGAGCTTTACCGAGAAAGGGACTAGGTACTAGTTTAAGGTCTCAGCAAATAGATTTTTACGCGGAATATTTTGAGAAAGAGCGCCATTTATTCTTGCCGAATTTGTAGAATTGACAACTGATTATGCTTGAGAGATGCCCTAACTACACGACAGAAGTGGGATGAAAAAGAAAATTTCTTAGCAGGAAAGAAGAATGCGCGTTTGCAATGCCAGCATCTGAATAACTTAATCCAGGCTATTAATAGTTAGGGTGTGTCTTCCTCTGTTTGGGAAAAGAGAAATGCTGACTGGAAGGAATCAGGAAATTGGGACTGGACTAGCCTCATGGGAGATGATCGAAAAATTATTTTAAGGGAGCTGCCGGGGAAGATGGAAACATTAATCCAGCAGGACACAGCGAAGACTCTAGTTGAATTATGGAAGGTACTATCAGTGGCAACCACTAAGAACCAAAGAAAATTATTCTTTTTATATCATGACTACCAAGCTACATGTATCTTTGACTTGAGGATTAAGCAAACCAAAGTTCCTCACTCAACAGTACCTGAGCATTGATAAAGTATTACACAGTACTCTGCCTCTAATTTTTAGACTGTAGAGAATGGTTTCATAAACCAATCTCCTTTTTGTCTTAGGCAATTGCAGAAATGTACAAGTTCATTTCATCATTTGAACCGTATAACACCTACTCCTAAAGTTATACAGACAACTCGGAAAAGGAAGAAATTTTCAAGTGAATAAAAAGCCAATTTGCAACACAAAAAAGAGCAAAAAAAGTAGTTTTCTCATAATATGTGCATACAAGATGCTCCTCGGTTGTTGCAATGCATAAAGGATAATAACAGTTTTTTACCGTTTTATTATGAAGGTATTAGCTATAAAACTTCAAATGTCATATTTTTAGCTAATAACGAAATAAATCATTTTATCACGAAACCCGCGTATCTCAACTAAAACGGGACCGAAGCTCTGCGTGACGTCACGCTAGTTTGCTGACGAGATTGACGGGAGATAAAAATATTAACTGCTAATGTGGGATAAATTGGCCACAATAGTGATGCTTTTATTTCACCCTACGTCAAGAACATTGATATAATAAACATCACGCAATCTCTTAAGCAAAGGTGGGGTTAAATATCGGCAAAGAGCCAAATACGTATCAAAAGGCAACAAAAGCCTGAAGAGAGGGCCGGAGCATAGGGTGGGGGCGGGAAAATTCTTCTACAGTACCGAAAATCTGTGTTCGGATGTTAACACGATGGAAATGAAGGCGAGAAGGACCAGGAGAGAAACTGACCTTGCCTATAACCTTGGTGCTATTTGATCTGACCTCATTTGATTGGCTTAAGATCTGTGATTGACAACGCTCCTTGCCCCATGCAAAGGCACACCTAAATACTTAACTCTATATGACGGGCCTCGAGATAAAATCAAATTACGCTTTTGTCATAATGTTGGCCTTTTAAATCACATTAGGTTTTCAGAAATAATAAATGCCAGGTGCCATAGCCACATATACACATGTAATAAGTAAGGGGTTCACCAGGAGCTATCCTTACAGATAAAAAGTAAACCTTTCCCTGAAAAACCCTTGGAGATGAGTGATGATCTCTCAATACGTTATATTTTTTAAGTGACCAGGAGATAAAATGTCTAACTTTTATAGGATAAATAACTTTTATCCCCTGGCCACAAGAGTCTGCAAAGTGATCCCAAAATAGCGGGAAACACTTTGCAGGAAAATCCTCTTTAGTTGAAAGGTGCCAACCGGCTTGCATAGAGCTTTTGTTTCTAAAAAGAAACTTATAAACATCTCCTCTGAGAGTTATTGTTACTGGCAATTTTGATTTAGACTTAACATGCTGTTCCACAGCAATTCTTAATACTGCAACCTCACTAAAGATAACAGCCTCCTCCAGGACTGGATTCTTAAAAAATCTGCACGACAATGTAAATAAAATAAGTCAAATTATTCATTACATTTATATCCATTTCAACATTCAGTGATATTTGGAACGTTTAGTAGTATTTGAATGACTAAATATCATGCAGTGGGTTAAATAACCAGGAGACAGAACAAAACTAGTGGAGAGAATTGCTACATTGCTCTCCCTCTTTAAAACGACAACTTACCTGAAGTCCGGCCCTTGCTGAACGAGAAACTGCCTTAGCCTTTGCCTTGGAATCTTTACCTGCTTTTCCTCCAGCCTAAAAGCCAAATAGAAATAGATTTGCACCGAAAAATATGACTCGCAAGCGACAGTATCAGTATAAATCTACTTTCTAATAAAACTTCATGAAATAATGCACATTTTGGCACAAAAATTGGACAGAAAGTTATCCGCCAAACGCGGATGGAAACGGATTCAAACCGTCCACGACTTACCATCTCGAGTCTTCAAAATTATGTGACGCGCTAACAAACGACTACTGCAGAGCGCCAAAAATTTGCCACTCAATTTGAAAGTACATAAGCCAATCAGAGACCAGCTTTGGAAAAACAACCAATCACGAACTGCTATTTTCGCGGTTGGATCCAAGTTCTAAATAAGGAAAAGGGTTCAATAAGAATCTGACGAAACAATAAATTATGTTAATTTTCACAGCTTTTGATAAGTTTGAAGAAGTAGTGATTAAAACATGCGCGAGCGGTAAGTTTTTTACCGTTGTTTTATGATCTTCACGCCGAAAAGGTCCGAGTCATCAGGGATTCAGCAGCTATTAAACAAGGACTCAAGATATAAAATATTTTACTCAAAAGCAATGATAATAATAATAAAAGTAATAATAATGCCAGAGAATTAACGGTTCGGGCCTTCAGGAGAAAAATAAACTGCCCGAAAAAAAATTTTTTTATGGCCCAATGCGAAGCGAACAGCCTAGACTAATAATTCATGCCTTAGCCAGTGGGGGCCTCCAAGCCTTTTTCTTTTTCCTAAGAGAAAAGAAGTGCAATATATCAAGAGAGTCTGCTGCTGGAAAATTCCAGAATTTTTATATTCGAAAAAAAAGTTTGGGGAGATTTTCACTGCCAATTTCTCAGTTAAGCAGCGCAAGAGAACCAAGAGAAATTACAGAGCCCAGGTTTGCATTTTTTTCTTTTCTGCAGTACAGTACTTTCACNCCCACTCGCTCCGACGAAGGGCTAACGCACGAAGCGTCAGCTTTTGTAATCGTTACGGTGGCCAATTTACCATTTCAACTTTGTTGATATATCCAAATTATTTCGTTACTCCCACCGACGCAGTCTCAAACAGTTTCTTTCGAAACTATCAGCCTTTATTCATTTGTTTATCATAGGCCAGGAGTAACATCACGGTATTTACTCCAAACGTAATTAATTGTTTCAGTAAAGATTACAAGTCGGCCTTCAGTTCCACTTGGTAAACTGATCCATCTTGATATGCAATCTGTCAAAGCTTAAAACTAATACGCGGGCAAAAATAAACAAAGACACTTTCGTCATTGTAATTGGAATGTTGGAATCGGAAAAATATTTTGAGAGTCTGTGAACCCTTTGATAATAGGGTTTTTAATTTATGGCTTTTCGGTGTTGCTCATAAATTAAAGTGAATCTCTAATCCTACTACCTGCTCAGTCAAACATATTTCGATAAGTTCGAAGCCTGAGAATGATGAAGACTGAAATTGTACTGCCTAAATAGTTGCGTTGTCATTAAGCGTCTAGTTTATGAGTATTGGTTTCTTGTTACTGAAATGAACAATTGCACTGATGAATAATTCGAGCTTTTCGATTTTTGTAAGGTAGACAGAACAAACTAACATTCGTGAGTACCTAGTGTGCCACCAAATTTACCGTTTAAATTATTGCAATTATTTTTATTGTAATTTTAAACAAAGGACAGAGAGAAAAAGAAAACATGATCCGAATATATTCTCTCCAGTTCTAGCTGCTGTGACCGGAAGTTGAAGGTGATCGCAGATAAACGAAAAAAAAAAATCCCTCGATCATCTCACAGAGGCTGCTGGTAAAAAAGTTAGAAAAGAAGAGAAAATTAAACATGTAACATGTTTCCACGATTTCATTTCTCAGCAGAAACTACGATCGCCAAAAGTAGTGCAGCGCTATCTCACTTCTCTTCTTCAGAAGCTAAGACCGCCAAAAGTAGTGCTCCGCTATCTCACTTCTCTGCAGACGCTTCCATCGTCAAAAGTAGTCCTTCGGCTACGAAATCCTTTGAGGTCACTTCTTATACCCCTTCACATTTTCACAAGACGACGACGCCGCCATTTCTCAAGATGACATCTACCTCCCTGGTATCGTTTTCGAGCACCGACCTCCCTAGTGCCAGCACAATGTTTAGTGGAACAACGCCTCTGCCCTCGAATACCACGGCAGCGATTGCATCGCCCACTATCTCGTCTCTTAGTTCATCTTAGTCCAGGGACCAGGACCCCCAAAAATGACATTTTGGTAGAATTCGGGGGAGATAATGCATGCCATGGCGGATCCAGACCTTGAGCAAAGGAATGGGGGTGATTTTGTGTGTATGTGTTCACCTACCGGCTTTTCTACACTCTGCATTATCTCTTTACTCAAAATAAGCCATGATAAGGGGGAGGAGGTGAGCAGCCCGTGCCCCTCCCTTGATCCGCCATTGCATGTACTTTTGAAAACTGCAATCACTCTAGTTGAATATTATGTAGGATAGCAGCGCCTAATGAGTAACTGAACAGGTATTTTCACGTGATCAAGTCACTTCTTTATACATAGAGAACCAAGATAGAAGATAGAACTAAGTGCATGCTTCTTCAGAAGACCCATAATTAAGTTCTACTCGCGCTAGGCTCTTCCCGACACATCCCAGCTCCTGGGAGGGAAACCAGGGCAATATTTTCTAGCTACCAGCCTAAGTAGGAGGGTTGCAAGTCTGATGCGTTTTCAAGTCGGCCAATTTACTCACGCTTTCTGGCAAACTTGAGTCTAATGATGAAATAAGGAGCAGCTCATGGAGCTAGGTAAAATGGTCCAATACAGCATGTTAAATGAACGATAGGATACAAAAGTATCGAAATAAATAATTAATCAGTTAGAACTTTGCCTTCGACACACATTATTTTCCGGAGGGAGGTCGTCGGCAGAAATCAAAGAGTGCCTGTTGGCCCATGACGAAGTGAAAATGGGAAGGGTTAAAGAGGATGATCCCTCCCTACTAAACAAGGACTCAAGACATAAAATATTTTATCCAAAAAAATGAGAAAAGAATAGCTGTAAAAGCAATAATAGTAATGATAACAAAAGTAATAATAATGCCAGTGAATTAGGGGTTCGGGCCCTAAGAGGAAAAATAGACTGCGCGAAAAAAAAAATTATGGCACCATGCGAAGCGAACACAGTAGACTAATAATTCATGCCTTAGGCGGTCTAGACCTTCAAGCTTTTCTTTTTCCCATGAGAAAAGAAGTGCATTATATCAAAGATTCTGCTGTTGGAAAACTCCAGAATTTCTACATTCGGAAACCTTTTGAGAGTTTGGGGAGATTTTCACGGTCAAATTCTCAGTTCAGCAGCGCAAGAGAACTTGGAGAAATTACAGAGCTAAGGAGGAAGATCAAGCGAGGAAAAAATAAGGAATCGCCCTCATTTCTGAGTTCCTTTTTACTCGCCACCCGCCAGGGCTTC